GGGGAGATCTGACAACAAGTCAGACTTGTTGCTTTTTATTTCCCACGTGAGGTCCCACTTGTTTTGCGTCTCACCTGCTCGTTGGTGGGTCTGGATTTCCTCCAGGCCTGTGAGCGTTCGGAGAGACCTGCGTTCTTTGAAGGCCACAACAGGTACCACCTCCTCCTCGTTGTTTAGCTCCAGCTGTGCAGACTTGGTGCCCACTGGCAACTTCACGACATGTTCTATGGTGCCATTGTGCACAGGCTCTGTGTTTTCCTTTGGTTTGGCTGCAGTTGGTAAGAGCCTGACTGGTGAGGACCTCTGTGTTGAAAAAGGATTTATTAATATAGTCAGGGACAGGCTGTGGTGCTTTTAGAAGTGGAGCTGGTCAGTTGTTAGTTGATGCTGGATGTGTGTCATGAGAACCCAGAGGCGATGTACTTTTAATAAACTGTAAACCTCACCGTATCTGGAGAATCTGTCCTTCTGGTTCTCCGCATGATCTCCTCAAGTCGCTGGAAAAAACACAGCTTTCATTAAAACCCTTCATAGCAGTCTTTGTGAGAACATCCAGTCTCTTTAAAAAACTGAACTTTTGGTATAATTACTGATTTTGATGAATTGCTTTTTGTATTTGTGAATAATATTCAGAAATAATCTGATTATTACCACTAACCTCTCGGTTAAAGACGTCATGACACTGCATTAGGTCCAGTTAATTAATTCAGTTAATTAATTACTTCTTTAATGGCCCACAAATTTGAATAAAAATGAATGTATATGGTATTTCTTTTATTTCTAATGTTATCTATTGTATCTTTTCTTATCTATGTCTCTGAAAATTAAAAAATAAATAAATAAAAATCACCTTTTTTCTATCTTGACGGTCTGCCTCTTCTTTTTGTGCGAGCATCTCTCGCTCTTGTTTCAGCTTCTCTGCCTTCGCCCTCTCCCTGGCTTCCTCCTCCTCTCTCTGCAGAAAACACAGAGCAGAGACAGAACATTTTGGTGACAATGAGCAAACACAGAAACTACCTCTTCCAATAAAAGTAACTGAGAATGAAGAAAACAAAAACAACCGTTGGGATGGAGCTGTACAATTTAATCTTGAGTGTGGGAAGAATTCATGTTTCTGCTGTTCACCTGTTTCTGCAGGAGGGCAGCTTCCCTCATGGCCTGAGCTCTCTCCTCCTCGGCTCGTCTCTGCTCTTCCTCCTCCCTCCTCCTCTTCTCCTCTATCAGACGCTGAGCTTCAGCCTGCTGTTGTGCTCGCTCCTCTGCCCTCCTGTGCTCCGCTTCTTCACGACTGCGCCTGGACATGTTGATAAATGTAATTTGTAGCAATACTACAGCCTGTTACAGCAGTGTTTCTGTCTCACAGGTGGATTTTTACCTTTCTGCCTCCTCTCTCGCCTCCTCTCTCTGCAGACGCTCCTGCTCCTCTCTCTCCCGCTGTAGCCTGGCCTCTCTCCTCTTTTCAGCCAGGAGACGTGAGGCGGCCTCTGGGTCTGTGGTTCCAGCTGAGGGCCTGCTCATGACTTCAGGAGGCTGGGGGGATGGATGAGGAGGCCTATGGGAAGGACCTGAAGAAGAAATAATATCTTCAATATCTGAAGCACATTGAATACCACTTTTAAAACAACACTATTTATTTCCTGTATCTTACTTCTTTCTCTCACTGGTGTGGTTGTAGGAGCTTTGCTGGGCAGGTTCAGACGGGGAGTCACTGGTGCTGGTGTTTGACTCCTCGTTTTCTCCTTGCGACCTCCAGATGATGTCCTGACAGGCCTCGAGTTACCAGGAGCGAGGACAGAGCGGCAAACAGCAGCATCCTCCTCGGGGACTGATGGGAGCTCGATCTGCAGCGGAGTTGAGTGTCTGCTGACTGATCTTGGAGGAGTCCTTGAAAACCCAGCAAAGAGAGCAGGTGTCCCACTTCATCCACATTTCTCTGACTATGTTGTGAATGAACAGTGGAGGTAACGGACACACAATCTTAACCTACCGATCTGGTGAGGGTGAGGCTTTTCTGCTTTCTGTCACTGTGGCTGGTTTCACATTGGTGTTGACGGATCTGATATTTGAGCCAATGCTTGATTTCTTCTTACTCACTGGCGTCTTAATGGCCTCTTGCTGTTTTACATTTTTATTCTAAAACAAAAAGAGGGATCAAAATTACTGTTGAGCCCAAAAACTGGGTGATCCTAAAGATAAATCATATTTATACTATTCTAGAAAAGAGCATTATTGAAGAAAAACATTGTATGATTTTGAGAATAAAGTTGTAATCTTACGAGAATAAGGTCTTATTACAGTAATATTCCAAAAATACATTTTATGAGAATAAAGTCATACATTTACAAAAATAAAGTCTTAATTTTAGGCTGTGCCATTTTACAGAAGCAAAACAGGAGATGTGTCTGTTGCCTGCTTTGAAATGAGGAACATGGAGGTTTCCCAATAACATAATCGATATATTTTGGCATATCAGCACCAGATTATCATAAGTATCAGAACTTTGAAAAGACACTGTTGCAAACTGTCAATTCTAAAGAAGGAAGCTCACAGACTTGAAGGGGGAGAAAATGTTTGGGAGTGGTCGACTGAAAGGTTTATAGTAGGCTCTTATAGAATGACATCTTTATTCTTGTAATATTACTTTCTTTTGTAATGTCACAACTTTATTCTTGTAATATTTTGACTATATTCTTGAAATCTCCGCTTTTTTTTTTCCTCTTAACTAATACTACGTCATAATCATTATCACATATGTAAGACCAAAGGAAGTGTTGGATTTACCTGTGCCAGATGGAAGCTTCTGTTGTTGGGACTTGGGGAGGCAGATGGCCTCTTTTGGAGTGAACCAGAGTGGTGCTGGGGTTTGAGAGGAGTGGAGAAGGTGGTGGTGGTGGTGGTGTTCATGGAGTGGAATGAAACTGCACGGCGACAAACATGGACAACTGAGCCAGTGTTTTGCACCATAATTATGGGAAATTGGGGGAAATATGCACAAATGGTGGGAACAGTGAGAAGGATGGAAATGTGGAGCAGTGCGCCAACAGAGAGGAAAACGAGCGGAGTTAGTAACCAAAAGGGCCTGGAAACGTTGTTGTAGCATTGTTTTACAAATGCACGACAAACCACCAGCATTGCCACAATATTAAAGGTTCAGTGTGTAAGATTTAGGTGAAAGGGATCTATTGGCAGAAATTGAATATACAATAATCCTAGGGATGTTTTCTCTAGTGTGTTATTATCTAAATTGGACAAATTGATGTTTTCTTTACCCTAAAATGGGACCTTTATATTTAAATACTTTATATTTACATTGGGAGCAGGTCGTCCCTACAGGCCACCATGTTTTTTTTTACAGTAGCCCAAACTAAACACTTTTTGAGTTTTATGGCAGTTGAAGACTCCCACAGGTTCTCTCTCAAGTGTGTAAGGGGTGGTTGAGGTGAGGGGTATTCAGCTGCAACTTGCAACTTCACCACTAGATGTCACTAAATTATACACACTGAACATTTAAAGCAAATGAGCACATTCTGTTATCTGGGGGGGCATGGGGGGGGAGTACCTTCTTCTCCTGACTGACAACCAGCACTCTTGCTCCTGGCCAGATAAGAGCAAGTGGGGGTAAGGAGGCGACTGACCAAGTTCTTCTCCCATGGTGTCAGGGGTAAGCGGTGTGGAACTAGCGTATTGATCAGTATAAAGTTTAAATGCAACAAAAACAAAAGATTATGCAAGCCAAGAAATTGCTCTCTCAAGATATGTTACAAAGGTGATTTTAGAAAGGTAATGTTAAAAAGAGGGAGGATAAAAGGAAAGCGTATTTATCTTCGACTCACCATTCTTGGTCAGCTTCCTCCCCCTTGGGTTTTGGCTGAAATTCTGTTGGGCCCGTTGGCTCTTCTGCAGCGTCTTGCGCACTGCAGATTCATATCGCTCCTTAATTCAGGGAGAACAAGCTTCAGTTTTGTTGTTGCTCAAATCCAGAGCTGAGAAATCAATGTCCTCTCTTAAAATTCTAGTTGTTTTTTGTTGTTTCCCCCCATCAACACTTACTTTCTCCTCCTGCAGCCTCTGCCTGCGCTTCTCCTCCACAGCAGCGCGCCTCCTCTCCTCTCTGTGCCTCTGTTCCAGGATCTTTTTGTTGCGTTCCTCCACTTGCTGTTGATGGTATCGCCGGGCCCGCTGCTCCCGCTCCAACCTGCTCAGCTCCCGAGAGGCTGTGTGTAAATAGATTTATCAGCTATCTATGTTAATCTTATAGAAATTGAGGACAGTGCATTAACCTTAGGAGCTCACGTACCGAGTAACTTCTCCTGCTCCTCTCTTCTTTCTCGTGCTGCTTTGAGCCTCTCATCAACATTCAGTCCATTAGCCGCTAGAATACCAAAAATAATATTTTGCAGGTGATTCAGTCCCACAATTGATTTCACCTTTTATTATTAAGTCTGCAAAACGGTGTCATGCTTCAAGACATGATCTGGTGATCTCATAATGTGACATCTGGCTGATGAAAAGCGTCAGTGTGACCTCAGGTTAACAGAGAGAGGTATCAAACCTGCAGCGGCCCGCGCAGCTAAGGTGTTGAGGATTTGCGGCGACTTGTTGACAGACAGAGCTGCTTTCTTTGGCAGAGAATTTGGTCTGATATAAGAGCCATTCTCTGTAAGAAAGGGAAAAAAAATGGGCATGTTATTCTGCAAAAATATCAGGGCCGAGATTTCGAAAAGAGTGTCATGAATTAATGAAAATAAAGTAGTAATATTATGAGAACGAAGATATAATTTTAGGTTATGTTTCATTGTAGAGAAGTAACATCACGTCTTGTTAAGTTGGTCTTGAGAATATAGTAGGTTTCACAAATAATGAAGTACATACATTATTCCTGTTTTGTTGCAGCATTATTCTTGAAATCTGTGAATTTTCTTTCTTTGATATTGCCCTGATACTCAGTCGTACAACACCAGCACATCTGACCTCTTCTTTATTAATTTTTTATAATCTGACACTCAGCAATTTTACTATTTTGGGAGATTTTGTGACGACACAGCATTGTGCACTTAAATCGTAAAGCACATGTTAAGAAGCAGCTGCTATGTATATAAACTGAAAACAAACCAGCCTGGTGTATCTGTCTCAAACAGTGGTTGTTAGGGAGTTGTTAGGCCTTGGGGTCTGATACACATAAAAAAGCCACTATTGACAGGCTGTGTAAAAGGCATAAAGAACATGCAAGCACCTGACCGGTCCTCCTGACTCAGACGAGCTAAGGTCAAGACATTAGACACCTTCAGGAGTACATGTAAATGCAGTGGGCTGGGGGGTCCTGTCAGGTAAACAATATCAGGATCCTGTGTGTATTACGTAATCTGTGTCCAAAGAGATGGAGATGTCCCCAGCTCCGTCACAAACATGTCTCAGAGGGAATCTGTTATTCTACCCGTGCGTCATCGATATAATAACACAAATCTGTGTCAGTGTCAGCTTCTTTAGATAAGCTACTTTATAAAATCATCATCAAACAACAAATCTACTCACCTCCCGTCCTCTCAAATCCATTCCCCTTCCTCTGGCTCTCGATGGTACGTGTAGACAGTGGTCCCTGCGATGGAGGGATGCCACTCTGTTTCTTCTGCACAGCCATGCTAGGTATTGAGCCTGGCATACCAATGCTCTCACTCAAAACCCCTCCTGCCTCTATCTCTCTCCTCCTCCTCCTCCTGCTGCTGCTCTTCCTCCTCCTTTTGAATTTCTATTTCAAGATGCCTTCAGGTTCTCGCTTGCAGAGTGAGCTGTGCAGGGAGCTGCCTCCTGCATCAGCTGCTTGTCCATCTGTGCCTCACAAACCAGTACAGTGAAAAGCCAACAAACAAAGCTTCCGGTCTAACCCCTTTTCAGTGAGCTGGAGATTATCAAAGCGAAATCAATATCCACAAAAGAAGAGTCACACCAGTCTCCTCAGAGGTTAAGGAGGACTGGAGAGATTCTGACCCTCAATGAGTCTTGTCTATAAAAAGATATCCCCCTTGTGAGCTGCTCTGCTTTACTTCCACAGAATATAGCTGTGTCACTTTAACTCCCCCTCCTTACTGCCTGCTGGATGGAGGGATGCAGCGTTTCCTGGAAACGGGGGAGGAAAATAAAAGATGCAAAGCTGAGAGGCTGTCCTCGTGAATAATTACCATGACATGGGGTTATATAATATTCAGTCACACACATTGCTTGGACACTAACTTGCTCTGATGCTGTATCCTCGAGAGATGTGGGGAAGATGTAATTTTTTCCCCCTCCCCTCGTGATTCTTCCTTTGAATTGAATGGTCTGACCATTAGATGGAGGTATTTCCTTCTAGAGGACAAGGTCAAGTCAGCAAGAAATTACAATTCACTCATTAACTACTCACCACTGTGCCGAGGGAGGGGCGGGTAAAGTGTTTGAGTCCACAAAACACTTTTGGAGTTTCAGGGGTAAACAGCGTTGCAGTCAAATCTAATACAATTGAAGTAACTGATGACCACTTCTTCAAATGTAAAAAAACAACAGCAAAAAAAAAAAACATAGAATGCCTCCATCCAAGTGTCTGTAAGCCCTGACATTCACATTAGACTAGGAACTGTATCATTTACACCATGTTTTCAGCCTAAATGACGCTGTGATCCTCACACAAAGGCAGCTCCAGACGAGGATAATATCTGATGCATAACACCGCAAAGGAGATTATGTTTTTGTCTCCATTTGTTTGTTCGTTTGAATGATTATGCAAAAACTACCGGAGGGATTTCCACAAGTCTTGGTGGAAGGATGTGGAGTGGGCCCCAATCCGAGGACAGTTTCTTTAACATAGTGAAATAGAGTTTTCATTGAGCAGCAGAGAATATTTCATGTTTATTGATGAAAAACAAGCCGACATGTTTATGGAACTGATGACTATGTTTGTAATTTGAAGTAAATCCAAATGAAAATGCGAATCTCATGAATTTAAATGTGGTTGCTCCGCGGCAGAGCTCTGTCCTCTGTTGAGTGCCATTCTAGGTAATAGATCAAATGACTTATTCATTAACCAGAAAAAGGATCCCTTTATAATAATTAGCTGCAGCTCTCCACTAGTGCCTGTTGAGTGTCTTTTTAAAGTAATAATGTGAGCAGTCCTGTCTGTCTGTCCCTCATGTGAGATCAGGTTTGAGTCTGTGTCACCTGAATGCTGTGAGGTCTCACCACCAGTGGACGAGTCCAGTGTCTCATGGGCATCACTGAGCTGGTTCACATCCTCAAAGGGATTCCAGGTTTCTTTTGGTGCCAGCAGAGGTTGGTACATAATGCTGGTCTGTGTTACTGCTCCCAGTCCTTATTTCAAGAAACTCCTGAGAAAAGTGCTGCAAGGAAAAACACAAAACAAAGCTAGGATGTGTTAACTGTCAAGGCTGAACTAATCTAAAGCATTACAGTCCTCTAACCATCCTGGCTGTTCTCGAGCACAGCTTCTGGTCAGCCTCCATTTGGGTGATGTGTCCCTCGCACATGCTGATGCTCCAGCTCCTGGTTCTCGTGCTTAAACATCCAACACCTTGCCAAAAGGTTCGTCCTTGATCGGCTGCCATTAAAACTAAAAAAAATAAAATAAAGGCAAAGTCTGCAACTTTTCCATTATAGCATTCATAACTTTAGCCACAATCAATGAAGGTCTATCGTCACTAGGTGGTGCTGTTGCTACAAAAGGCACATCAAGGTGTCTGTTGCCTAAGGAAAAAAAACAGGAACCAGACCTCTTCAGAACTTGCTTGAGAATGTTTGTGTTTTTCAGATTTCTTCAGTCTCAAAATCATTAAGAGATATTTATGTAATTCAGGGAAGTTCTCAATTGATCCAGTAGTGTATTACAAAGAACAGTTAACAGATAGTCCGGCATACTCTCTTTCAGAAAAGTATAAAACAAATATTAACTTAAAAGAAGACAAGAAAAAGGGCCTTAAGTTTTAGCCTACAGCAACTTCTTATTTGTTGCAACATACTCTTAGTTTCTTTTAAATGTCCATAACTGTGGACAAAAACTATAATGATACTAATACAGAGGAAGGATCATTTCATTTATATCACTGCAAGAGGCAAAAAACAATTATTCAGAGTTAGAGTGACTTCTTGGATGGGGAGGTGTCACTTGAGGTCAGATCCACCTGGGTCCTACGTGCTTGCCAACCAGTGCAATGCCCCCACCCGGACACCCAGCAATAACAATGCCCTCTGGCTGTGTTTCAGAGACAAAGCTCGCCAAGCTCCCCCATCCGAGAGGCTGAGATGTGTTAGAATGACACACAACACCTCAGTCAGGTGGTGTGTCCATGCACAGTCAGTGGAGCACAAAGAAGATGGTGATAACCGGCCTACAACCTACAGCCAAAATAAGCCTTTGGTCACTGGACCTACATGGGATAAGATTCCACGGTTGGTATCGAATCATTCTGTGGTTCACCATAGACGACATCACCAAAGGTGTCAGTTTAAGGGTTTGGTCGCTTGCTCATGCATATTCCAGAGTGTCACCAAAATATTAATCTCAAAATACAGATAACACTCGGATATGAAGTGGTTTTGTTTTTTAAGACGACAGCTTCATCAACTCTTCTGAGACACTCCCTGATGTAAGAGAGGATAGAAAGTAAATGTTATGGTTGTTCTATGAGTCCAGAGAAGTCAAACCATGGCCTCTTTGGTGGCTGATGTTAACGTCAGAGTGTTTAAAGCTGCATTTGATGACAGCACCCATCAGAGAATGAGGTTCGTGCATTAGACCACAGTGGGAACCGGTAACTTTGCACTGCTGGTGACACGGTTTCCATCCGTCCCGGAGGAACTACGACATCTCCTCAACCCCTCTTAGCCTGTAGTGAATCATGTGATTAAGGGCAGAATCCATCACCACAGTGTCCAGGTTGGTGTCACCGCAAGTATCAGTGCACTTCCAGGCTGAGCAGGCAAGAAAATTCTGCATCGTTACAGTTCTAGGTAAAGTTGCATTCAGTAAAGTATGATGTTTTGAATGATACACATATGTTCCAAATATAACTTCGTAGTGATTACATATTCTTGGAGGTTGTGCTCCATCGTTTCCTTAAATGGGCAAAATGTAAAAATATTTCCCCGACATAGTAACAATGATCAGTTTTCCTGTTATTCCCTCTACGCTAAATCCATTTCTTTTGTTATTTGTCCACATAATGAGGATGCCACATGCAACACTGACAGGTCCGCTTAAATAATTTAGAGCCTTGTTTCATCGGACACCAGCAACTTTAGACTTTGACGTATGACTTACCGACTGGCTGTATGTGTAATTGATGAGATGAAGAGTTGTACTTTAGCATCCAACACAAGGTGCATTGAACACAAGTTGCATTGAATAGGAGTCGCTAAAGCATGGCTAAACTCAGCAAAATGTTCATCATCACACTGGTTTCATTACAGTTAAAAACACATCAAACCACGATTTCCTCATCTCATTCGTATTCATTCAATAAATAACCTGGTGCATAAAATTCATCAGTAGCAATCAAGCGATTCAGAACGGACGGCTTTTAAACCTTGAGGCTCGAACCTGAAAGAACTCGAAACACAAGGTGCTGCAACTAGGCCACGGCACCATTTGTTGATTCCATGACAAAGGACAATGCATCTGGAGCCAGTTTGCAGCAGCACCCTATTAAAGATTAAGGAGAGTTCTTCCAACTAGGCTGATATATTTTGTTTACTTTCATGAAATTCAATGACTTGTGACACAGCAATAAAGTAATATTACTGCATACTCACATATTTTGAAGTTTTTCTTCTTGTTTTAGTTTGGTATGACATTTACAAAAAGATGCTTTCTGGCTTTTTAAGCACAAGAGGGATTTTAATAAGTGTTGTTATCCTCCCTTTGCAGAAACCGGGTTATTTGATGTTTATTAAATGAACATAATGTAGTGTTGAGTACTATGGGACTATTTGTTACTTTAGTTAACTTATTATCATCATTATTACACTATAACAATCAGATTAATTTGACTGTGTGGTTAACTTTTCCAGTGACCATTGCAAAAAAAAAAAGGTTCTGAAATTTTACAGAAAAAGCCTAATACATATCTTTTGCTGCGTTCGGAGCCCGTGGGGATTGGCAGACTCCACTCACAGTGACGTCTCTCAGCAGCCCCTAGTTATAGTTACCAGTCTCGGGTTCAACACTCATGCACTATTCATCGGTGTATCACATCACTCCTGCCCAACTCAGGACTTGGACAAGCCCAATTCTTTTCTGAACAACTTTACTTTGTAGCCTTATTCCTACTGCTGTGTAAATGTCTAAAATGTTTATGTAGTGTTGCCTTCATTTCAGAAAAAAAACAGGGAGCTGCCTTTGGAGCTGCTCAGGAGAAGGGAGACAAGAGCATAATTTCCCTGTATGGTATGTATAATTACATTATTTCATCAGAAGAAACGCTTTGACATTTAGGACTCAGCTTTTTGCTTATACAGAACTTGGTGTTTTTTAAGTAGGGAGTTTTTAATGATTAATATTTGTTAATCAAATAGTTAAACTGACTTTTTTAGTTACCACAGAAATATTTGAATTATTGCATTCTGCATCTGGTGCAGTTATTTTTTTTATTGCATGTTTTTTGTGAATTCTAACCTGGATTAGTATTGTTTATACAATTTGACATTCATAGGGGTTTTTTACTTTTTAAAGCATTGTGACGTGTTAAAATACGTAGTAATTGTTTTTATTACACATCAAACCAAGTAGCAAATTTAGCAAAGTAGCAAAACATTTTTACCTTAAGAAAATACCTATATATCTGCTAAAAAATAAACAGATTGAAATGTTTTCCCCCTCTGTGCATCACGGGCACTTGATTGATTACCACAGATTAATTATAAGTGTTTTATTTTTCACAATCCGTCTGAAATGTAATCCTATTTAATTGAGATATTAATACTGGCTGATTTAAATAATTGAGAGCCCCTTTTGAAGCCTAAACCAAGGTGTGGTATCACACAGACAGGGTGTTGTTACTTCAATGACAGTGAAATGTTTCCTACGGCATATTTTTTTGTTCCTCAAAGATCTGAATAATTGTTTTAAATATTTAGACATTTTCCAGCTGCTCTTTTTTGTAGCAATGAGATGTCGACCTCCTTCTGTCTGTAAGATGTTTGAGAAGAGTGTCATGTCTGTCGTGGCTCTACACCACTGAGCAACAGAGTTTTATGACTTTTTGGACAGAAAAGTTTTGGATGCATACAAAGTTAATCTCTGGTTTTCAATGAATTTTATGTTGTTGTTGTTTTTTCCATGTTAGAAGAGAGTAATTGCATTTACAAAATATACCTCAATGTTTACTTGATGAATTCCTTCCTTCCACAGAGCACACAAACAAGTGTCTTGCACCATGAAGCGCAGTAAGCACCGTGGACACAAGGAGGACAGAAACGGAGGTATCAGTATCTAAGATGGTTGACAGAGGAATAGATCAAAGAAGTGAGAAAATCCTGGCTGATACAAACTCATGCTGAATTAAAGCACCTTTCAGCCCACTGGTGCACACTCATGCCCAGACACTAAATATTTTACATACACGCTTATCCTGAAGAAATAAATACTTAGTTAGTAACATGATGATCTTTTAATGAGCGACAGCGCCCTCTGCAGCCACACGTGAGGATTAACTCCGTTGGGCTCCATGTCCAAGTGTTTATCGGTTTTCATGTAGAGGAAAAAAGAAAAATATGTTGACTTGTGTGTGAACTGAAACATTACCCATCCTCTGTTCAAAACTCTTTTATTTTTTCTGTATTTTAAAAGTTTCCTAATTGAACATTGGAGATAAATTCCTGTTTTTGTATTTTTAACCGATCTACAGTTCAGCATGATGAAGTTACGCCTGATTCTGACAGTTTAAACTGCAAAAATTAGTCAGTTACACACGTCTCACCGGAAATTGCACATTCTCATTAAAGCTACATATTGTCAGGGTTAAAGGAACAGGTGGAACCAAAAATGCAGAACAAAAGAGTTTTACCAGAAAGTGCCACTGGTGACACTGGAGAACTTACTTGAGGGAATGAGGGAGGAGACACAACGACAGGGTGGTGAGACGACCACATAATAAGACAACCAACCAACAAAGACCAAGGCACGCACAGAGACTTCCATACACACTGAACTAATGACAAACTAGAGACAGGTGGCTCAAACTAATGAAGGCAGGAAGTCCATGTGGAAAACACACAAGGAGCAGAAACTACAAAATAAAACAGGAAACAGAGTGGGACACAGGAAAACACACCAGGAGCAAAACTACAAAATAAAACACAAATCTTAACATAAGGAAAACACAGGTAGACACAGATATAAACGAGGAGTCCATAATTGCAAGTTAAAGATGAAGAAGGTGTCCAGAGTATCTTCCTATTCATAGTCTGTGATATTTTAAAGTTAAAGGTTGTATTAGTGTCGTTCAGCTTTAAGTGTCCTCAAGTTTTAATCACTTTTATTTTGGTACAAGTCCATTTATTGTCTCCTCTCTACGATCTCCAGATGAGCCGGCTGTCCTGGAGACAGAAAACCTGGATCGGCAGGGTATGTTCATGGGAGGAGGACTGGACCTTGACACCATCTCAGTGGCCTCAGTCACAGCCGTTACCACCAATGTATCGAATAAGAGGCAAGCATTGTCCTGTCGATCGTGTGACACGTTCTTATTGTATTACACTACATTACTTTGTTCTCACACCTCAAATGTCCCATAGATCCAAACCAGACATAAAGATGGAGCCCAGCTCTGGCAGACCAGTAGATTACCAGGTAAGAGAAACCTAACCTTTTATGGACACAATCTTTTCCCTTCATATTGTCTGCTTAGAGTACTTTATACTTGATCTTCATCTACATTATCAATCAACCAATCAATTAGTCTACCTGCCAGTTACTCTGTACCACTTCATCACTTGATTCCAGGTGAGTGTGACAGTGATTGAGGCCAGACAGCTGATTGGACTGAACATGGATCCCATGGTCTGTGTTGAGATTGGAGAAGATAAAAAATACACCTCAATGAAGGAATCAACCAACTGTCCATACTACAATGAAGTGAGTCAATCATAACAACACAATTTTTAAAAAAAAGTACATGTAAATGTAAATAGGACATTGATACAGTCAATATCATCACAAACTCTTCTTTTTTCCAGTACTTTGTCTTTGACTTCCACGTCCCTCCAGATGTTATGTTTGACAAAATCCTGAAGTTGTCTGTAAGTATTTCATTTTATTCATCAGTGCATTATCAACCTGATTCTGCCACAAGACCAGTGTATTGATTGTTTATTTCCCTGGACGCACCCTCAGGTCATCCACTCTAAAAACCTTCTGCGTAGTGGAACGCTGGTTGGGACATTTAAACTGGACGTTGGCACAATCTACACTCAGCCAGGTAAAGGATCACCATAAAGTCAGGCTTATTATTACAAGTAAATACCAACAATAAATACATCTCAGCATTTGGATAATTTATTTTCTGGTATTTTTCTTGCAGAACATCAGTTTTACCACAAATGGGCTCTGTTGTCTGACCCTGACGACATCACAGCGGGCTGTAAAGGCTACGTTAAGTGTGATGTCGCAGTTGTGGCCAAAGGAGACACGATAAAGACTCCGCACAAGGCCAATGAGTCTGATGAGGATGACATAGAGGGGTGGGTACATTTTCGTAGTGCATAATAAATTCTTAGTAGCCCAGACTGGACAAACTAAACACTTTATGAGTTTTTATAACAACTGAAGACTGCCACAGGTTCTTTCTCAAGTGTGGAAGGGGTGGGTGAGGTGAGGGGTGTTAAGCTACAACATGAAACTTCACCTCTAGATGTCACTAAATTTTGCACACTGAACCTTTAATAATTCTGTAATCCTGCATCTTTTTCAGCTTCACAAAGTACCATGTAACTGTAAATGTGTCAGTTGACTCGTCAAGTTTCATCATTTCCTGTTTCTGTTTTAGCAATCTCTTAATACCCGAGGGGGTGCCTGCAGAGCGACAGTGGGCTCGCTATTACCTGAAAATCTATAGAGCGGAGGGACTCCCAAGAATGAACACCAGCATCATGGCCAATGTTAAGAAGGCCTTCATCGGAGAAAATAAGGACCTGGTTGATCCGTACGTTCAAGTACAGTTTGCTGGACAGAAGGTACGTGACAAAGATATCTGCCTCTTATTTCTGTGACATGTAGACAATAACTGTAATATGTGATCACAGGGGAAAACATCAGTTCAGAAGAGCTGCTACGAGCCCATCTGGAACGAGCAAATAGTTTTCACTGAGATGTTTCCACCGCTGTGCAAACGCATGAAGATCCAGCTCCGTGACTCTGATAAAGTGAACGATGTCGCTATAGGAACACACTTCCTGGACCTTCGGAAGATCTCCAATGACGGGGACAAAGGTGATTTATTATTTGGTCTTTTAAGAATAATTATTTGAATCTTGCAAATATGGAAGATTTGATATGGAATCTTCAGTACTCAGTTTTTTCCGTCCATAACATAAGCTGCACATTTTGAATTGCTAATTCTACTTATTTTATATTTCAAAGGCTTCCTTCCCACACTGGGGCCTGCCTGGGTCAACATGTACGGCTCCACCCGTACCTACAGCCTGATGGACGAATACCAGGAGTTGAACGAGGGACTCGGAGAGGGGGTGTCCTTCAGAGCCCGTCTGCTCATCAGCCTGGGTGTGGAGATCCTGGACCCCTCCTCCCCTGAGGTTGCCAGCTCCACAGAGGCGCAGGTGGAGGGAGTGCCCAACATCTCAGAGGTGGGTCCCTGCCTGGATGAGCGGCCATGCAGAGGAAACCAATTGTTTCTGGGGTCATTGTGCTGCAGCTAATGTGAATTATTCATTGTCTTTATTTAGCCCACCTGGTGCATTATTAACACGCTGTTTGCATTCATGTGGCTTCTTTTTTCTGGCAGACAATGTAAGTTACACAGCAAATTCAATTGAGGACAGTGGGACCGTATCCACAGGTGGTCAGGGATTCATTTCTCTCTGTTCAACAGCTTGTCTTACAGGACCATCAGGACGACTACATCACTCCCTATATTATTGAAGTGTCATCTGTTAAAATGTGTTGAAATCAATTGTTTGGTGTGGTTTCTAAATTTTATTCAATTAAGGAAACGTAGGACAGTGTTTTCTCACGCCCAGATACTCACACTTGCTTCTTTATTTCACAGACGGCAACTGGGAAGGTCGAGGAATTTTTCCTCTTTGGATCGTTTCTCGAGGCAACAATGATTGATAGAAAGATTGGAGATAAACCCATCAACTTTGAGGTCACCATAGGTATTTAATATTACCTACTCCGATTTTACAAATACATTCTGTATAGTTTGTTTAAATTGGACAGTTTTTTTTGGTTTTTCTTAGAAAAATTAGTTCCAGAATGAAAATTCATTTTTCCACTTTCAGTTACCGCAATTTATTAAAAACTTTTGTTACTGTACTTTGTGTGAATTCATGGGCACACTCTTCTGCTCATTAGTTTAAGATGTACTATAAGCGAGGCCCCGTTTTTTAATCTACTATCCTTGCTGTTTGCAAGGTTACTATGGGAACGAGATGGATGGGATTGTCCAGACAAAAACCAAAGGGAAGAGAGGTGGAGGTGACGGAGATGAAGAAGAAACTGAACTGATTCACAACTCCAGCGAGGAGGAGATGGACGATGACGGAGACCTGACATCAGTGGCAACTACACCTCCCATGAAGCCTGTCATCACTGATCGGTCAGGGCAAGAATTTCATTATAATAGTTGGACAATGCAAACAACAACAAACTTCTTTATGAGTGACCAAAGGCAGGCACAAAGCATGAGTTGTATTTACATTTATAACTATTAGATAGTAAAAACTCAACTTAAGATGGATTCCTTTTCATTAAAGTCAGCGTTTTTGTGCCACATTTAACCCGACAGCTTTTTTTTTATTCAAGCAGCTAATTCTCATTCCAATTCACAGAAACTACTTCCACTTGCCGTACTTTGAGAGGAAGCCGTGTATCTACATCAAGAGTTGGTGGCAGGATCAGAGAAGGAGGCTGTACAATGCCAACATTATAGACAACATTGCATATAAACTGGTAAGTCACACACACACACACACACACACACACACACATACACTCACACAAACTTACATCTTTCATTGTCTCTACAGGAGGACGGACTAAACGATGTGCAGGAAATCATTAAGACAGAAAAGTCCTATCCTGAGCGCAGACTCAGGGGGGTCCTGGAGGAACTCAGCCACGGATGCAGGTACTTTATCTTTACGCCCATTAACCAAATATTGTAAAAACATTATTTATTGATTATGCACTACAATGGATTAATATAGTTTGTCAAACTGAGTGAGCTCTTCTTCTTTCAGTCAGTTTCTTGCGCTGGCAAACAAGGACCAGAACCAGTCTGGTAAAACCAAACTTGACAGGGAGAGGCTGAAGCTGTGCATGTCAGAAGTGGTACGTGAATAAATGAATAGTGGCGATGTTCTTCTCACAGTTGTTGATTGTATATATCGTACTTTTTTTTCTTTCTTCCTAAACGCTGGACTGTCTCTGGTTGTAGGAGGCCATTGGGCAGCAAGCGAAGGCGATGAGGTCCCAGGTGAAGAAAAGCACAGTGAGAGATAAAATCAAACTGGCTCAGAACTTCCTCTCAAAGCTGCGCTTCCTGGCTGATGAAGTAAGATCTGCGATATCATTTTTGCCTTGCACTCGCAGACTGTGTTGTTTGTTGTACATGCATGTTTTTGTTGTGGTCATATCATGTTTTATATACGAACATTCTTCCTCTTGTAGCCTCAGCACAGCGTTCCTGATGTTTTCATTTGGATGATAAGTAACGGGAAGCGCATTGCTTATGCACGCGTGCCCTCCAAAGACATCCTTTACTCAAGCATAGATGAGGAGAGAGGGAAGGAGTGCGGCAAAGTCAAGACAATCTTTCTCAGGGTGAGTTCACATTCAATATTGTAAAGTAAACTTTATTTTGTCATGATAAAATAATGATTTTATTGTATTAACTGATTAGATCCCTGGAAAGAAAGGCTTTGGGCCTGCTGGCTGGACAGTGCAGTCCAAGATAGAGATTTATCTGTGGCTGGGTCTAAATAGGCAGCGCAAAGACTACCTGAGTGGCCTCCCCAATGGATTTGAAGAGAACAAGTTGTCCAAAGGACCCGGCATGCCGTGCTCACCTCCTATTAGCCTCACCTACATGAGTAAGACCATCAACCAATTCAATATCTCTCACATTAACTTATTAACAGCCTCCAATTAAGACTTTAAGAGATACAATACCTTCTTTCGTCTCCACAGTGAAACAAATTTTCCAGCTGAGGGTCCACATGTACCAAGCTCGCAGCCTGTTTGCTGCTGACAGCACAGGCCTGTCTGATCCCTTTGCGAGAGTCTTCTTCTCCACGCAAAGTCAAGTCACCGAGGTAAGCACACTCTTCTCAGTCCCTTAAAACAAGATTGATTGTACAGCAGATTCAACATCACCGCCATTGTCTGTTTTTCTCACCAGGTCTTGGCTGAAACTCTCTGCCCCACGTGGGACCAGCTGCTGGTCTTTGAGAACGTGGAGTTGTTCGGAGAAGCCAATGAGCTGAGAGACGACCCTCCCATCATCGTCATTGAAATCTATGATCAAGACACAGTGGTAAGGTTTGTTTTGAAATAGTGTCTGTTTGAATTAATGTGAACAAACAGGTTGAGGTTCCACGTAGCAACAGTCCGTATCGTGCTCGTCCATCTTTGTCCGAGGACTGCAGCACTCCCACAGGCGAGAGGCTGTAACTGCAATGCAAAAAAGAATTGAAACAAACAATTTTATTTTAATTTCTAGACTCACAAAGCAAAACCTTTTAATTTAATGTTTTTAAAAATAATATTTGGTTTTATTTTAGAGCATTCATTGTATTTTCTGTGTATTTTCTATCTGATGCACAAAGTAAAACGGATTGTAGTGAACGTTAGCTGTGAACTAAAAGTATCATGGATTTGACTGAATAGTGAGTTAGATATGTCTCATGAAACAAGCCAAGTTTGCTGCCTGTTACTGTTTCAATAGACTGTCTCTCAGCCCCCCCAACTCTGACAGACTCTCAGTGTCCCTGTGTCTGTCACCTAATAATATAACATCTTGCTTGTTTTTCAGTTAGAATGATTAAACATGTCACAAAAAGCAGGTTGTGATATGACGTTAATATAATGTTCCTCTGTGACAAGTAATAAATCCTGATCCTTGTTTCTGTCGTGCTGATTTGAACTATATTTGAAAGAAAATACTTTTGCTGACTGATTCTTTATATTTGCTCCTGTCAATTACACCATTGTTTTGGATGATGGATAAGTAGAGTGTGGATTCTGATGGTCTGATGTTCTGTAGAAACACTGATATGTGTGCAGAATAAATAGTGTTCAAAGGCATGCAAGAGGAATAAGATATATATCAATGAACTGATTCTCCACAGTCCTCGAGGATGATGAACTTATACCTGTTGCATTCCTTTAAGACACATTTTGTGCTTTTTGTATGTGGCCAACAGAGAATTTGGACTCTTCACAACCACTAACTGCAAGAGAGATTTAATAACATTTTCAGGAAGACTCAGTAATAATTCATTGATCTTTTGTTATCATATAAATATGTCTGTTTTGCAGTTCACTGGTTATTTCAGGGCTTTTGTCTTTTTTGTTCTTTTTGTGTTTTTTTACCCTCAGTGCATCTGTATCTATTGTTGAAACATGTGCATCTCGTGCCATGTTTCTTCATGCTGATGGTAAAAATCACATGATTATATCATTTATATTGTTTGATAATTGTAATTTAAATGTTTGGGACAAGAGATCAAAAAGACCCTGCTTTCAAAATTCAAACCAGATTTATGCTTTGGACATTTTAGGTTTAATCTTGTCATATGCTTGCAGGGCAAAGCTGACTTCATGGGCAGAACGTTTGCCAAGCCTGTGGTCAAGATGGCCGATGAGCACTATGGCCCCCCACGCTTCCCTCCGCAGCTGGAGTACTATCAGATCTACCGTGGAAACTGCACCGCTGGAGAAATGCTGGCAGCTTTTGAACTCCTGCAGGTCAGTGTGTGAAAAGCAGACCTCATCGAGCTGTGTCATGTGTGACTGCTACGACTGATATGTCACGTTGCTTTCCTGTCCCGTCTCTTAGATTGGACCCAATGGGAAAGCCGACCTGCCTCCGATAGACGGTCCTACAGATATGGACCGCGGTCCACTCCTGCCTGTACCACTGGGAATCAGACCGGTGCTCAGCAAATACAGGATTGAGGTAAAAGAAAATGTTATATATGACAGTGTAAAAAAAATAATTCAACATTGAACATTGGTGAACCTCCCTACGCTTCAGGTTTTGTTCTGGGGCTTGAGGGACCTGAAAAGGGTGAATCTGGCCCAGGTGGATCGGCCTCGTGTGGACATTGAATGCGCAGGGAAGGGGGTTCAGTCGGCACTCATCCCCAACTACAAGAAAAACCCCAACTTCAGCACCCTTGTCAAGTGGTTTGAAGTGGTATGTAATCCTGTAAAGTTCTCGTTTCTAATCAGAGTTTACTCCATTTATAGAAAACATGACGCAAGTGCTGACAAATTCCTGTAAACCTGTATTTTAGCAGTTTAATTCTGTTTTTATTAATAGAATTCTGGATTTTGTTTGTCAGGATTTGCCTGAGAATGAGCTGCTTCACCCGCCTCTGAACATCCGAGTGGTGGACTGCAGGGCTTTTGGTCGCTACACTCTGGTCGGCTCCAACGCCGTCACCAGCCTGCGGAAGTTTATCTACAGGGCAACAGACAAACAGGCCAACAACTGGTCGTCAAACACGACAGGTAAAAACAGACGAAAGGAACCACATGTCCAAATACAATTTGATGATATAAACAAACAGAATCATGTTGTCAAGGTCTACCTTCTCATCATCTGTTATCTTTCAGAGGAAATTATTGTTGTCAGCATGGAATCTGATCCAGCTTTTAAGAAGATGGACACTGTGGTCAAACTCGATTCTGTAAGTTTATTTTTTAAATTTTATTCAAAGAACAAGACCAAGTTTAAATAATAATCCTCGTGTGAATTGAATACATGTACATTGAATACGTGTTATCTGGTTTTCCACTTAGTGCTCTGACGCTGTGGTCAAAGTTGAGGTAAGAATAGTGCTTTTGTGTTTTTTTAACACAAGAGTTTACAGTATTAACAAATTTCAAAGCTTAACCGATTGGACGTGTGATGCTTTTTGCACAAAAAGGATGACGATAAGGATGGAAAGGGGAAAAAGAAGAAGAGGAAGAAGGGAGATGAGACTGAAGAGGAGGAGCTTGATGAGAGCATGTTGGACTGGTGGTCCAAATACTTTGCCTCCATTGAGACTTTGACAGAGGTAAGAAAAACTTTCAAAAAACCTAAAAAAGAAGTTTAAATTCAAGGAGAAAGAAAGAAAGTTTAGCCAATAAAACAATTTGGCCACGACATTTAGTTGTTAACCACGTGTAAAAGGTTTCCGTCAGAGTTTCTTGAAGGCAAACGTCTTCCATGTGCATCAGAAATAGGATTTTAGCACAGCCTCACTTGACCAACTCATAACTTAATGTAATGTTATAGTTTGGTTTTATTTCTCAGTTACGAGATGACTTTCTGCTCTGACAGGCACTGAAGGCTCAAGAAGCAGCTCTGTCAGATTCAGAAGACAAAGACGACGCGGACATTACAGATGGTGGAGGTAAAACCAGATGACCTTAAATAAAACTGGCTTTTTATTCAGTTTCAAAGTTTCATGCATCTCTGTGTCCAGCTCTTTGCAAAGTAATGTGCTTCAATTTGAGAATCAACTAGATTTTACTTGCAAATGTAGCATTCACTGAATTACACAGTTCATATTACTTCACATAAACAGCAACTGTATTTGTCTTTAATGAGTTTTACAGAATCTGCAGCTCCCTGGAGGATCCTCTCTCAGTATGACCACTGAATTGTATACAGCAGCTGTATACAATTCAATGGCACGCTGGTTGTACACAATAACAGCTGGTTTTGGCAACTTTCATGTAGAATTCAAGTCTCGAGTGCTCTGCTCCTTCACCCCGCCCCCCCCCCGCCCATCACCCCACTCCTCCTCTGTCCTCGCTGCTAACCTGTGCTCAGATATCAAACCTGATGACTCTCCTGTGAAAGGAACCAAGAGAGGAAAAGGAAAGAAGAAGAAGATGACCTTCGACCCGTTCGAGAAGAAAAAGCCAAAGTTGGATGAGCTGAAGGTTGTTAGATAAATGTTGTACCTATGACAGTCAGTCCAGCCCAAAATGATCTTGATTTGGTTTTGGCCACATAATTGTAACACATTTATTTTTTAATAATAATTGAATTCCCTCCACCTGTTTGAATTTGTGTTTTTATTATCAACTTCACATTATTTGTTTCCCTTTCATTAAAAGGTGTATCCAAAAGAGCTGGAAAGTGAATTTGACAACTTTGAGGACTGGCTCCACAGTTTTAACCTGTTCAGGGGAAAGGCTGGCGATGACGATGACCAAAACGCAGCAGACGAGGACAGGATTGTTGGGAAATTCAAAGTAAGAACAGAATGTTTAGGGTAGGACACAAAGTTTCCTTTCTCAGATTCCCAATGTAATCATTCATTTGTGTCTGCCCCCTCAGGGCTCAATGTGCATGTACAAAGTGTCGGACGATCTGCCCAGAGACATGAACTTCGACTCCAACATGGGAATGTTTCAAAACATTCCTCACAACGACCCCATTAATGTCCTCGTCCGCATCTATGTCATCAGGGTACGTATTCTGTATTTTAATCTAAATTCTTCTCCAAATATATCAGGAAGAGAACGGATCCTGCAGACAGGATTACTTTGGTCATTTAATTCTTGCTTAAAATATCTTTTTTGTAAGGCAACTGATCTGCACCCAGCTGACATTAATGGGAAAGCTGACCCATACATTGCAATCAAACTGGGAAAGACAGAAATCAAAGACAAAGAGAACTACATCTCCAAACAGCTGAACCCTCTTTTTGGCAAGTAAGTGGATAAGCTGTATTTCTCAGAAAAGTATATTTATATATATATTTATAAAATTAAGCAAAATAATTAATATGAATTCACAAACTTAACAAATCCTGTGTTTCTTATCCTCTCAGATCCTTTGACGTGGAGGCCACATTCCCAATGGATTCCACACTCACGGTGTCGATTTACGACTGGGACCTGGTTGGAACCGACGATCTGATCGGAGAAACCAAACTGGACCTGGAGAATCGTTTCTACAGCAAACACAGAGCCACGTGTGGTCTCGCTTGTAACTACGCCATGTAAGAATTGAAACGGACCTTCCTGTCACAGCGTGATACAAGATTGTAGAAACATAACAGTATTTAAATGTATAATATACTGCAGTTACATTCGTTTTATACAAAGATTTATGTGTCGTGTACTTTCGGTCTTTTCTGTAGTCATGGTTACAATGTTTGGAGGGACCCATTGAAACCCACACAGATCCTGGCTAAGCTGTGCAAGGATGGAAAACTGGACGGGCCTCACTATGGCCCCGGAGGAAGAGTGAAGGTGGAGAACCGTGTCTTCATGGCACAAACTGAGATCGAGGATGAAAACGGTATCTGTCCATTTCCCACACACTCAATTAAACTGAACTTCTTGGTAAAATCAACTCAAAGAGTTCATCACCATTTATCGGATCAGGTTTGAAGAAGCAGACGGATGAACACCTGGCTCTGACTGTGTTGAAGCACTGGGAGGATATCCCCCGGGTCGGATGCAAACTTGCTCCAGAGCACGTGGAAACAAGACCACTGCTCCATCCTGACAAACCGGGAATCGAACAGGTACATTGAAATATTCACATCAGCTCTATTCACACCAACTACACATTTAAAAAAATCAGTTCAATCTATAATCCAGTGGTTCTTTTCTTGAATAATATGAGTTTTCTCACGTCCAACTGAAATTAGGGACGGATTGAGATGTGGGTGGACATGTTTCCTAAAGACATGACTGCTCCAGGTCCAGCTCTTGACATTTCACCAAGGAAACCAAAGAAGTACGTCCTCTTTTCGGAACTGGCTCAAATAGTTCGTTTGCAGGATTCACGTTAATCCAGAAATGCTTAATTTGGTCACGAACTGTATCTGGTGATTTTTGCTCACGTCCAGGTTTGAACTGAGGGTGATCATCTGGAACACAGATGAAGTCGTTCTAGAGGACGATGACATCTTTACTGGAGAGAAATCCAGTGATATATTTGTGCGAGGGTAATTATGGGTTTGATAAGTTGATGTTTTTTAAATTTTCTTTTAACTAACTCTCTTTATCTTCCTTTCTTTATATACGATAGAAAATGTTTTAATTTCTTACCTCGATTGAAAACAACACTTTATTTGTTCAACATTGTGAATTTGTCCCTCACCACTGCCTTTCAACAGTTGGCTTAAAGGGCAGCAGGAGGACAAGCAGGACACTGACGTCCACTACCACTCCATCACCGGGGAGGGCAATTTCAACTGGCGCTTCGTCTACCCCTTTGACTACCTCATGGCTGAGGAGAAGATCGTCATCTCAAAGAAAGAGTCCATGTTTGCCTGGGACGAGACCGAGTACAAGATTCCAGCTCGTCTGAACTTGCAAGTGTGGGACGCCGACCACTTCTCTGCAGATGACTTCTTAGGTACGGTAGACGTTGTTAAAAATAACCTTTTGCCTCATGAATCCCTGTTAACGCCACAGAATCCAAACTGATGCTGCTCATAGGATACACTCAGTTTTGTTGAGCAGATACCACAAAAAATACTTTCTACAACCAAATACATATGTCCGTATATGTATAACTCAACAGATCCTCTTCTTGATTGAGAAGACGTCTTTTACATGTATCTAAGTTGAATAATATCTCTTTATAGGGGCTATTGAGCTGGACCTGAATCGTTTCCCACGCGGTGCAAAGACTCCCAAGCAGTGCACTATTGAGATGGTGACAAATGAGGCGGAGATGCCCTGCGTCTCCATCTTCAAACAGAAGAGGATCAAGGGCTGGTGGCCATTTGTGGCCAGAAATGAAGATGACGAGTTTGAGCTGACGGTGAGTCAACGAACAAAGCTGTCTGCTGCTCTGCTCGTGGATCTGTGAGGCTGCATACAGATGTTCACAGACGCAGATATGATATTTACCATGATTCGCTGAGGACGGAGAGTTTTGACTTGACAGGAAAGTTCTTACAATTTAGTGTGACAGAGTGTGACATCGAAGTGCTTAACAAATGTCATGACAATCTATCCAAATGATGAAAGATGTTTTACCCAAAAATACAAATTAGGAACCTTACAGTGGTGCTGGAGGTAAAGTCAGAGGATCAATAAAGTCAGCATGATTCATATCATTCATATTTAAGCCTGGATCAGAGTGGTGTAGTGACTCTGCTCAGGTCAGTAAAATGTCTGAATGTATAGAAGTTGTACAGTTTGACTCAATTCTCTCACGTCTAGTTTAAAAAAGGTGAAAGAAGTAAAAGGATAAATCTGCATAAAAGTTTGAAAATTAGATGAAGGAATAAAATAATACAAATAAATAAGTACTGAAATACTGTCTGTCCTCTGTGATTCAAGACTGTACGTTAAAATTAAGTTATTTGCGGATCTAAATAATCAAACAAAATTGTCTTTACAGGGAAAAGTGGAAGCAGAGCTTCACCTTCTGACCGGAGAGGAAGCAGAAAAAAGCCCAGTGGGTGAAGGACGCAACGAACCGGAGCCACTGGAGAAACCCAAGTATGAAGGATGGTTTCCCATCACACCACTGTCCAGTTTATTCTCTGGCTTCTACTTTTACGCCTCCTACACACACAAATACTAAAGTTTGTGTAAAAAGATGCAAATCAGATAAATAAAATAAATAGCACGATAAATAGAATTACAATAAACCGATGAATAAATATAACAATAAATCGGTCATGAATGTAAAACTGGAGATCGTAAACACACATAAAAATGCATAAATAAATATAAATGTAGTATAAAAAGCAATTTAATGAAATGAGGAAAGACATTTACATGGATTCGCTTCAACCAATTTCTGGACTTTTCTTCTTTCTTTACATGGTAAGTTGCTGTTTCTTCATATCTTTTGTGTATTTCTGCCTAGAATCATTTAGAAGTTCCCAGAATACTCCTGTAAATGAACTGTTTCAGTGATGTCAGCAACATTCACGTTTCAATTTGAGAAGCGTAGCAGTAGAATGGTCCATTCTGCTTAACACGTGTTTCTGTCCTTCCAGCCGTCCAGACACCAGCCTTCTGTGGTTCCTCACTCCCTTCAAAGCCATAAAACAATTGGTCTGCACCCAGTACAAGTGGCTGACCATCAAGATTGTCACAGCTCTCCTGCTGCTGGCCATGCTGGCTCTTTTCCTCTACAGCATGCCTGGTTACATGATCAAGAAAATGCTGGGAGCTTGAGATGTTGCTCAGACACCTGCAGAAGGTTGCCAGCAATTTCACTAACCAGAAGGCTTCTAGCTCTCTTGCTCTCTCCCCTGCTTACTTCCTGTCTGGGGTTTCGCTTCAATCACAGCCTAAAAACTACGTAGAATCAATAATATCAGTCAAGCAGATCCTGAGTCATTTTGTAGGTCAACATGACATGGGAAACGCATATTCTCTTCAATAATATACATCAACTCAGCTCAGATATCAGAGTACGGATAATTCAAAATACTCGATGTTACCGATCACTTTTCAACATTTTATAATCAGCTCAGCGTCGAATGGGACCAGTGTAGTCAAACAGAGCAAAAGTCTCACTGAATTATTAAACAGTTTAGCTGACTGTGTATAAAATTAAATTCACTTTTGCTTCGTGGTGTTTTGTATTTTGAGTTAATTTTATTTCTGCATTTTCTTTTTATCAGTAGCGCGTGCATGAATTATGTTGCCAAAAAAGCAAATATTTCTGTCCCTCCGAACAACGCGGATTAAAAAGCGCAAAACTGAAAACACGAAGAAAGATATAACTAATCTTAAATAATGTAAAAAGGCGAAAGAGAAATTTAAAATGATCTTATTTAATATCGTATCCTACATTTTTCGTCTCGACTTAGTTATTGGTAAAGTCACGTTGGTAAGACTTGACCTGACACAATCGATACACTCTGGAGTTCTGGGTGCTCCAACACTCACCCATAGACTGTATATAAAAGGGTCTTACCACAGGTTATATCACGTGTGAGAACCTATTTCTATGAACTATCTAAAGTATCGTTGTCTGGCTTTGGCTTCTTTAACATCTCCTCACGTCTCTTGTGCTCCACCAGCCGTCCAGACATCGCCCTCCTCTGGTTCCTCATCCCTTTCAAAGCCGCTAAACACCTGGTGTGTGACCAGTACAGGTGGCTGACAATCAAGATCGTCACTGCTCTGCTGCTGCTCGCCATCTTGGCTCTGTTCCTGTACAACATGCCTGGTTACATGGTGAAGAAGATGTTGGGAGCCTGAGTTAAAACCAGCAGATGATGGTGTGCATTCAGTAATGATTTGTATTTGATGTAGTACCAATAACACATCTTGAGTGTAGTCACCATTGTCTGTACAAATCTCAACACCTTGCTTTTGATGGTGTGATAACTGAAGTTTTCTTCTTTCTTAAAATGGGGTTTTCTTAATTATTATTAAATGAATTCAGCGTCCACTGCTCACCTATGAAAACTGATGACCATCACCTGGATATTAAAGGTTTTATTGATTAAATATTGAGGATTTTTAGCATAGTTGGCTGGTGTTCAGATTTTCCTGCTTGACTAATATTTTGTCATGAGACAAATGTGTTGTCCTGTTTCCCTCATTATGTGTATGTATGATAATTCAAATTTATGAATAAACTGACCTGAACTATTCAGTTTTCTGCTCGTACTGTCGTCTGTGTAAATGTAACCAATCACCTCTTTTCCTGTGATGTTATTGAAGGTTGTGACTATTTCTAGAAATCACAGTGAAGTTTTGAAAAACTTTTAAAGCTAGAATTTATTCCTTTAAAATCATAGTATGCGAATTTTTGGGGTGTATTTTGCCTCCTCAATTCCAGGGTGCATTAATCTTTTATGAAAGGATAGAAAGCAAAATTACGATTACAATGTTATTTAAAAAAAATAATATTTGAAATTCTTACTGTAGTGAGTACCAGCTCAGGTTGAGTCAGTATTTAGTTACAGCAGCATTCACATGGTGATGAAGGAAACACTTGAATATATATGAGTTCATTTTGAGGTCATTTACACATAAGACAAAACACACACAATATGTCACAAATTCCCTGTCACACAAATTCAGATTGAGCCATCTCCCTTATCTGTGATCTGTCTCACGCAGCCGTCCAGACATCGCCCTCCTCTGGTTCCTCATCCCTCTCAAAGCCGTGAAACACCTGCTGTGTGACCAGTACATGTGGCTGACCATCAAGATCGTCACTGCTCTGCTGCTGCTCGCCATCTTGGCTCTGTTCCTGTACAACATGCCTGGTTACATGGTGAAGAAGATGTTGGGGGTTTGAAAGCTTTGCTCCAACTTTCACAACGTAAAGAAATCATTTCACTTGTATGTTTCCTGCTTGTTCTTAGGAAAGTATTTTGCAAATTTACAAAAGACATGAAGTTGTAGATTGGTGCAGTATGGTTTAGTATTGACTAAGATCCATCACTGCAAATTTGTCATAATTTCCACAATAAAGTTTAATTTTATTGTACTTTATTTTATATCAGTCACTTTTTGACTTCGTACAGACATTGATACAACTACTAGGGTACTTCAAGATTATTTTTCAAAAGTCTGCTAAACTTGAATTTACACTGTGTATTTCTCCAGAAAGTTACTTGAATTTTACTTTGGTGATTAAGAGGCAGGGAGAACCACACAGCCAGCCCCAGTAGGCCTAGTGGCAATTGTTACTTTTGCTAGTCAGTTTCACCTTTTTAGAAAGTTCTTTTCAGTTTATTTTTTATAAATTACTATTTTTTGTTCATTCATCCATTGCCCATGACTCTTTTCCCAGGGTTATTTGTATATGGGAAGCAGCTGGTTTCTTAAAAGATGGTTGGATTGTGTTTCCTGTCATAAGCAGTGTGTCTGTTGGGACTCTTGTTGTGAAGGGCCACCAACGGACGTGGTTCTGTTGTGGAGAGAGATTAGTTGATGAGTAAAGAAGAAATAAATAGACATTTGTCTTGGTTCACTCATCACATCACCTATTTTGGATTCAAAACGGCAAATTTCGCCGAAAGGTGAGTGATTTTCATGCCTGCATCATATAGGGCAGGGGGTTCTAAATGTGCCATTAGCAGGCGAAATCCTTTGTCTTCTACCACAGAAAATGGCTGGTCATCAAGAGTGATAAATTCCGTGATGCTGTCATTCATTGCTTTAGCCTGTGAACTGTATCTAGCAAACTTCCTGCAGCTCTGGTAGGCACGGATGTATGACGACATGAGTGCGGCCAGGCGTGCTTTGTTTATCGGAGGTTTTATAGGCTATGATTTCCAGTTCCGATAAATAAACAATAATATAAAATTCCCNATGACCTTCTTGTTGTGGTTGCTGCTGTTGAAAGGTAAGCATTCTTTTGTTTTGCTGACTGTTATTATGAATTCAATAGAAGCATCTGTAAAACTTGAATTTGTGAACACAAATAAACATTTCAAGAGGAAATATCTCATTGACGTTTTCTTACTTGAAACAAACCTCATAAAGATGATGTCTTTGTGGAGTCAAGTTCCTAAATGTTTCCTCATACATGGCAAATAAAGCTGATTTTGATTTTATTTAAATCTACTCGCCATGTGATTGGCCAGCCACTGTGACAATCATTTTTCTACAGAGATATCCAAAGAACATTGATTTGTACTGCTCTTTTGTTCCAGATATATTGATTCTCAATTCTCCTCCTCCTATAAAAATGTATTGTTTGGCTTTACCCTCATTACATATAGTTAATGTTGCTGTTTGTTGCTACAGTGCTGAGGAAACTGGTGTAAGTGGAGGGCATTTCCAAAAAGTTGCGCGTACGCTAATGCACTGAAGTGAAAACATAGATATGGGGTACATCTTTTTAAAGTCTCAACTTAGATCAGCAGAACAAAAGGAAGAAAAGAAAAGTTTGGAGGATGCGGGCATCGATCCCGCTACCTCTCGCATGCTAAGCGAGCGCTCTACCATCTGAGCTAATCCCCCTGATGGCTCCTGCTAGAGAATCGGTGCTGATAGAAACTCGTTACATGCTAACCAGGAGTTAGCATGTCGTGGTTGTGAGATACTGACTGAGGGCGGGCAGCAGCAGCGGAGCAGGGCAGCAGCAGCGGAGCAGGGCAGCAGCAGCGGAGC